CCCACCTTCCTTCTCTCCCTTCTACAACCCTCACCTACAAACTCACCCTTTGGCCCCCTACACCCTTCCATCTTCCTCCTCCCTTCCCCTTTCCCACCCTCCCTTCCCTCCCAACCTCCTCCGTCCTTCCCCACCCCTCCATCCCTCCCATTACCATGATATATCCCGCCTTCCATCGTCTCCTTACTCATATATCACGCCTATAATGAAGCTGTAGTCAAATAGGCTCATCCCACAGGAATTATTATGACCAGATCACCCCAGGATGAGAGAGAGAGAGAGAGAGAGAGAGAGAGAGAGAGAGAGAGAGAGAGAGAGAGAGAGAGAGACCTCCACGAGTCATGTTTTGACCTCTGTCGTAAAGGAAATTAGTTTGTAGACTGTAATAGGTGCTCTGTAACGAGGGAAATTGTGTATGGGGCTGCGAAGGACGTCTATGGTGAGAATGGGTTTTGCTGTACACCCATAACTCTGAACATAAAGAAAAGGCGTTACAGTAGGCTGCAATGGGCAACAAAGGGTTACAATGGGCTCAAATACGTTGCAATGTGCTACAATGGGTTACATTATGCTACAATGAGTTACAGTGAGTTACAATAGGTTACATGAGCTACAATGGGTTACAATTGATTACAAGGGGCTACAATGGGTTACAATTGATTACAGTAAGGTTGCAATGGGTTAAAATGCGTTACAAAAGGTTACAATGAGCTACATTGGAATACAGTGGGTTACAGCGGGCTATAGTGGGTGACAATGGGTTATAATGGGTTATAATGGGTAATAATGGGTTACAATGGGCTGTAATGGGTGACTAGGTTAAACCGTTGATTCCTTGACTCTGCAACAAAGAAGGAATTTCAAACAGACGTTTTCTATCTACTGTAAAATACTAAGGCCAGGGTAAACATTCACCTTAGCCTGGCGCTTCTAGCCACACCTCCTCCCTCCATTACCCACTCCCTCCACACTCCCTCCAGCACACACCTCCTCCAGCACACCCACTGCCTCCAGTACACACCTCCTCCGGTCACACCTGCCTCCGGCCTGCTCCAGCACACACCTCCAGCACACCACTGCCTCCAGCACACACCTTCCTCCAGCACACACACTGCCCAGCACACCTCTCCAGCACACACCCTCCCTGCACACCCCTGCCTCCGCACACACCCTGCCCAGCACACACACCGCCTCCAGCACACCTTCCCTCCAGCACACACCTTCCCTCCTGCACACACCCCTGCCCGGCACACACCCTCCTCCAGCACACACACTGCCCAGCACACACCTCTCCAGCACACCCCCCAGCACACACCCCTGCCCAGCACACACCCTCCTCCAGCACACACACCGCTCCAGCACACCTCTCCAGCACACACCCCTGCCTCCAGCACACACACACTGCCTCCAGTACACACCTTCCCTCCAGTACACACACACACTCCTCCAGCACACACCCTGCCTCCAGTACACACACCTCCTCCAGCACACACTGCCCAGCACACACCTTCCTCCAGCACACCGCCTCCACACCCTCCTCCAGCACACACCCTGCCCAGCACACACCCTCCACACACCTGCCCAGCACACCACACTGCCCAGCACACACCCCCCCAGCACACACACCCCTGCCCAGCACACCTTCCTCCAGCACACCTGCCCAGACACCCCTCCAGTACACACCCCTGCCTCCAGCACACACCTCCCTCCAGTACACACCCTGCCTCCAGTACACACCTTCCTCCAGCATACACTCTGCCTCCAGTACACACCTTCCCTCCATATACACTCTGCCCAGCACACCTTCCCTCCAGTATACACCCTGCCCCAGCACACACCCCTCCAGCACACCCTCCAGTACCACACATCTCCCTCCAGCACACCCCTGCCTCCACACACACCCTCCAGCACACCTCCACACCCCCTCCAGTACACACCCTGCCCAGCACACACCTTCCTCCAGCACACCTGCTCCAGACACACCCTCCCCAGTACACACCTCCTTCCCACACCCGCCTCCAGCACACACCCTCCTCCAGACACACCCTCCGCAGGCCACACATCCTCCAGCACACACCTCTCCCTCCAGTACACACCTTCCCTCCAGCAGGCCACACATCTCCCTCCAGTACACACCTCCAGCACACACCTTCCTTCCACACACCCTGCCAGTACACACCCTCCTCCAGACACACCTTCCCTCCAGCAGCACATCTCCTCAGCACCCCTGCCTCCAGCACACCTTCCTCCAGTAGGCACACATCTCCCTCCAGCACACCCTCCCTCCAGACACACCCTCCTCCACACACCCTGCCTCCAGCACACCACCTTCCCTCCAGCACACACCTCCTCCAGTAGGGCCACATCTCCCTCCAGCACACACCTCCCTCCAGCACACACCTCCTTCCAGCACACACCCCTGCTCCAGCACACACCTCCCTCCAGCACACACCTCCCTCCAGGCCACATCTCCTCCAGCACACACCCTGCCTCCAGCACACCTTCCCTCCAGTACACACCTTCCCTCCAGTAGGCCACACATCTCCTCCAGTACACACCTTCCCACACACCCTCCCTCCAGTAGGGCACACATCCCTCCAGCACACACCCTCTCCAGCACACACCCCGCCCCAGCACACCCTGCCCCACACACCCTCCAGCACACACCCTGCCCAGCACACACCCTGCCTCCAGCACACACCCCTGCCCAGCACACACCCTGCCTCCAGACACACCCTCCCTCCAGTACACACCCTGCCTCCAGCACACCTTCCTCCAGTAGGCCACACATCTCCTCCAGCACACCGCCTCCAGACACACCTCCCTCCAGAGGGCTACATCTCCCTCCAGCACACACCCCTGCCTCCAGTACACACCTTCCCTCCAGTACACACCCTTCCTCCAGTACACACCTTCCTCCAGTACACACCTCCTCCAGTACACACCCTGCCTCCAGTACACCTTCCTCCAGTACACCCTGCCCAGTACACACCTTCCTCCAGTAGGCCACATCTCCTTCCAGTACACACCCTGCCTCCAGTACACACCCTTCCTCCAGTACACACCTTCCTCCAGTAGGCTACACATCTCCTTCCAGTACACACCCTGCCCAGTACAAATCCCTGGAAACATTTACTCAAGAACTACAGTACCAACTGAGTCACAGTCAGCAGGAGGCCGATCAGATTATGGCTGCACTAGAGGCAACCTCGACAATCAGGACCAAAGTGTGAGTTAGGTGCCACCATTGAGGGGCGCCTGACTCAGCTCACCTTCACTGTGCCAGAGTGCCTGAGAGTGGGATGCAAGGTGCCAGCTACCAGTGTCTGTTGGGAGAATGACAAGAGTTTTTTCAGTATTTCCTGCTGCCAAAGTGCCAAGCAATAGTGCCACCTGCCATAGTGCCAGCTCCAAACGTCAGAGTACCAAATATCAGACTCATAACTGTTACCATACCAACTGCTTCAAAAAAGATTCATATCCGTTCAACTTCTGTCAGATCATCCCTAAGTGTACCAGACATTGCTCTCTCTGTCAGGTCACCATCTCTAAGACCCTGACAAGCCAGTACTAATATCCACGTGATGATTCTGTAAGTTTATCCATATCACCTGAAGATTATCCACCCTAATTTATTTCACGTGAAGAATAAACATCATATTGCTATCTGAGGATTAAGTTAAGTTAGGTTGAGTTTAGAGTAGGTTAGGTTAGGTTAGGGTATATAAGGTTAAGTTAAATAAGGTTGGTTAGATTCGGTTAGGTTAAGTTAAATAAAGATGATTAGGTTAGGCAAGAGTACCTGTGATGAAGGTCAAAGAAGACCACCACCACCAACCATCTCATGGGACCACCAACCATCTCATGGGACCACCAACCATCTCATGGGACCACCACACTCCACACTCAACGTGCTTAACGCCTATTCTCCCTCAAATCAGCTTCACTGCACAGATCTCCCAGACTTCGTATATACTGAACCCACTGTCGTAATTGGTGACCTGAACACCAGGACATAAGAAACTGGGTGACTCCTCCACTAACACCAATGGTAGAGACTTATCTCATTATTAACCTGTTCGAATCATTGGTGACTGTGAGCCAACACACATTTATGGTGGGGCTCTAGACAAATGTATTGGATTTAATCTATCACACACAACTCATAGCTCTGATGTAGTCTGACCACAGCCCAACCCAAGCCAGTATATACAAGACACCCTCACTCACGGTAAACTCAACAGACATAGACACACAGTCAAGAAGAACATGAAAACCAGTTCATAGACTTCATCTATGACTGTCAAGTATTATACGAGTACAAGGCTGATAATTACCAAAGTCTCCATGACGATCTGGTAGAAGGACTTGTGTGTATTTTTATCCAATAATGCCTCCACCAGTAAGAGGAGGAAACGTGGTCAGCATAATAGGAACAGACCACAGCAGTGTTATGATGACCCCTGACTGGTGAAGGTTACGAACACCTCAGAACACCTCAGAACACATCCGACGCTAAAACTGTTTCATTCTTCCCTCGCTGCAACCCGAGAACGTGCGAATGAATTTAGACAACATTGACTGTGTCTCTTTTCAATATTTCGGTGTGTCTATCCTTATACCTCTGCCATACACCAACTAACCCGCCATTGTATTATATACCTAAATTCATTGTATATAAAATTCATAATATATCCTATGATAAACACAGTATTTCTAATATTATTTGTGATGTGGACAAATTTTGCTGTAATCGTCCATGTGGGAATTGTCTTTCTGGGAATCGTCTAAGTAAGAAAACCGTCTATGAATCGTCTCAGTGGCGTGTGATCCTGATGAACACCTTTGGCCTCTACTTTGTAATCTTTCCGCTACCGCTCACAGGATAGTATAGAGATAGTCAACTAGCTGCTGTCCGGGGTAAAATTCAATTACAATCATTAACACCACACCTATCACCATCACTACCCACCACCATCCATTATCACCACCAGCATCAC